GTTAGCAAAAGTAAGTAAAAACTGAGTAATTATTGCAATCTATTGGGGGTATATTTTGTCAATATTCTTGTTGTACATATATCCCATTATCTTAAAAAGTCTTCACTAGTTCTTTAGCTATAATTATGTGTGTAGTTTCTGTACAATGGTCAATATCTGACTGAATGTTTAAAAATCAGTCTTAATAATAATATTAAAATACTGCCCTTCCTGGGGATATAGAAGCAATAAACTAATACTGAGAGAGACATCATCTCTGAAGATCCCATGATAGGGCAAGAACACCACCTCCTTCATTGCATCTTCACAAAAGACTATGATGTCGCTGTACCACACAATCTTCATGTCTGGTCTATCTGACTGTGTCATGACTACACTATGACTCCAGTCTGCAATGGAAACAAGTTCTAGAGCTGTCAGGAGGTGATGGAAGAGTATTGTGATTTGTATCCCAAAACTGTGCTGCTGTTTGCTGGCCCCGAAAGGAGCCATGTGTCCTTCATAGAGTGCTTCCAGTAAAAGATAAATGGTCCAGACAGCCAGTAACCCAAAGAGATCATTTCTACCATGAGAAGGGAGGTGGCCATAATGGAGAGGGGCCTCAAGGCCAGCTGCTGTGATGAGCACAGCCTGTCATAGGATTGTCAAACAACAATGATCCTGAGCAGAGGCAATTTTCCAGAGCTGAAAGTGGACCACCACCTCCTCAGAGACCCAAGTGGCAATAAAATCATGAAAATTTGAAACCAAAGTGCCATCGTCATAACATCGGAGGGTGAGATAATGAAGTCACTGCAGCCGCAAACATTATCAAATTCTCACATCACTGGCAGCATGGACAGCACCTATCTCATCATGGAACACACTAATAAGGAGTGCTGATAAACCCAATCAGAATATTTGGTGCTATGCAAATAGGAGGTGGCCTGTAGGCTATTCAAAAGGATAGTCTACTCACTCCATTACTGCCATGGAAAAGGAATCCTACAAAGCTCAAATTAGAAAATATCTTGTGCTGATGGAATCTCTGAGCTCCCAGGACTCTGACATCCAGTGTGGGTAGGAGCCTGACATAGATGCAGACAGCTGCAGAACAGCCAGTTAAGAATTCTGCAGGACCCAGAACACCTGAGAAGGAAGAGCCAATGGGCAATGCTTATCGTGGAGGAGACTCTGTGACCAATCAGAAACTTCAGGATGTTATACACACACACACACACACACACACACACACACACACACACACACACACACACAGTGGATCCTCACCATGCCACCAGTCTTCAGGAGCCAGGTGAAGCCAGCATGTGCAAGTCCCCTACTTTGCTCCAGAGCATCCAGACACATGCAGAGTTAGGTCAACTGTGTTTGAGTGGAAACAGGGACATCTGAAGAGGGTGCCAGCTGAGAGTGAGAAGCAGCCAGTCCCAATATGCAGAGGGCCCAGAAATGTAGATGAAAACCACTGAGGATTCCCCATGGGACAGTGAGGGCTTTTCTCATGATGGCTTATGGTCTCCTGTCACATTCCCACCTACCAAAAGGACCCAGAGATCACTCCTACCTCAGCTGCTGGTGCACTGCAATAGGGGAGTTAGCTGGTGTTACCGTCTCCTTTGACCTCCACAGACTTCCCAGCCCCAAATAAGAAGAAATGGTACAAGGGTGAATTTCTGTTAAAAATGAAAACAACCTTTTATAAGCATGCTTATTTTATTTAAAAAAAAAATACTGGGGCTGGAGAGATGGTTCAGTGGTTAAGAGCACTGGCTGCTCTTGAAGAGGACTGGGGTTCAATTCCCAGCACCCACATGGCAGTTAACAACCATCTTTAACTCCAGTTCCAGGAGAATCCAAGGCCCTCTTCTGATCTCTAGGGCTCATTGTATGACATGGGTGCACTTACATACATGCAGGCAATATACTCATACACATAAAATAGAAATGATAAATAAAATTTTTTTTAAATATTAAAATACAACTTCTAAAAGAAAACATGTTTGAGTGCTTCAGCAATGTTCGGTCTTCTCTTTCTCCTCCCCCAACTCCTCCTTTTTATTTATTTTCTTCTTTTTTAAAGAAAAAATTTCTGTCTCTCTAGAAAAATATATATCCTGGGCCAAAAGTTTCTAACTGATTTTATAGCAAGTAAAATTTCTATGAAACCCAAGAAACACAGATACCATATTTAAGGCTCTGAAATTTTCATTTGTTTATGTTTAAGTAAAATTATAATTAAATAAACCTATCCATCATTTGACAAAGAATAAATTTAACAAAAGAATATATATAAATCTCTGTGCTTAAAGGAGTATGCAAGATGCTTCCAAACGTTAAAAAGCTATTTATTGTTTGATTTGTTTGCTGTCAATTGCGATTCAGTAGCTGAACCATTACAAGGATCTATCAATAATGATTCAATGAAGCCTGGAACTGAAGGTTAATATAGGCTGTAAAAAGAATTTGCTCTAAATATCTGGTTCCATTAAGATTTCCCTTATTTCTTAAAACTAAATTCTAAAAGTAATACAAATGTTGAATAATCAGAATCTACCTTAGATCAAGTCATGGCCAGATACAAATGGTATCTACTTTACATCCTGTTCGTTCTTTGTGAACATTTACGAAAATGGGCAACTCAGGTCACAATACTGCTCACAGATTTGCTCTGTTACAGATTATGTTTTAACTGAGGTAAAGCGTTTCAAAATCCACCTAGGTTCTATATTATGGATTGTGACAGAATGCTCAGAATTCTTTCTCTTATCAAATAGATTTTCAATATGTACAAGTTTTCTGCCTTCACTTTTCCAATGACTCTGAATTTCAAAGATAAAATTTATAATACTCAGGAAACTTCCTTCTTTTCTCTTTTAGGTATATTACTGATTATTAGAATTAACATTTTCAAGTTCCATCTCAAGATATAGTCTTTATAACAAAATAAAACATTTAAGATAAGATGATCAATGCAGACCACAACAGCACAACCACTTCTTAAGTAGGACACTATTAATTCAAAGTAAAAATAATGGACTTGGGCTGGCAAGATTGCTCAGCTGATAAATGTGCTTGCCATGAAGCCTGATGACTTGAGTTCCCTCCCAGGGCCCCACGTGGTAGAAGGAGAGAACTGACTCCTCAGGGCTGTCCTCTGACTCCCATAAGAAGTGTGTGCCCCTACACACACACACACACACACACAAACACTCACACACACACACACACACACACACACACACCTCGCACACACACACAGGTGAGTAAATAAATATAAAAATCGTGCTAGCATTTATAGCTACTTTCCATTATAAATACCAAAATTCTTGCCTCCAAAATCACAGTCATTTGTTGTACTAGATCTCTTTTACCCTACAACTGAGCTCCAGCGTCACACTCATATCTCTTGCTATTATGCACTATCATGACATAAAATATGATTCTCTGTATTTGAGGTTAAAGGGTGTTACATTGGAAAACACCAGAAAACACTATTACTATCTGACTTACATCTTTCAGTGCCAAAGAATATCATGCCACATTGACTTACAAGTAAAAGTTTACAATAGGCTATCTGAAATGAACAGTGACTAATGGTCAAGAAATTCCAGTGAAAATGTTTTCTTCTATGACAGTTTGCATTTAGAGAACTTTCTGAGATTTCTTTCTCTCTTGTTCTCTTTGAAACACATTTTACAGAATAATTATACTGAAAAAACACTGCTCGAAGGTGCTTGTTAATGGAGCATACGATTGAGTGGTGATTAAAAATACAATAATCTTAATTTCATCTTTTAGAAAGAACAAAGTAGCAGAGACAACAGATCATTACACTGCTATGCATGAGAAGCATCGGTCTGTGCATGCCACACATGAAATGTGCATGGAGCTAGCAAAAGCTATGTAATCACCACGTGTGGAAAACAAAGAGACACTTTTTGTTCAAGGTGTCCTCTAATCCAACTTTTATCTCAGTCTTTCTTCCTTCAGGACCATGATTTTCTTTCAAGCAAAGACAGTGGGAGAGTTCAGCTGGATTTCATTCTCTGCAAATCCACAACAGTCTCTGAAGAGGCTCATCAAAGCCAGCTTGGGATAGAGAGAGCCTAAGCTGTATGTAACGAGCTTGAATCTCCATCCACCTCTCCTCCACAAACACTCCCCAGGACCAGAGCCAGAGAAAGCCCAGCCATAGAGGATTTCCAGTCAATGAGAAAGTGTACTTTTGGGAACCATTCCAGTGCTGCCTCTGTCCCCCACCTCCGCACAACACTAGAATGCGCTCCTAGCGCCCAGCCTTCTTGGGCGCCCAGCCTCCTCCCTCCTGCTGGCTAGGGGTGAGCGCTGGGGTTAGTCAGTCTGCACGTGACGCCTGGTGCCCACATGACAAACTGGGCGGGGGGAGAAAGACTGAGGAGTGAAGCAGGGAAAAGTTACCTAAGACCCGTCAAAGCGCCCAAACCAATGTACCCCTTTCTTTTCCGTCAGCCGGTGGCCCAGTGATCCTCCGAGGACAGCTAGGAAAGTGCCTCCAGACCAGCTATGGATAAGCTGCGCTCGTACTCCGCTCAACCACAGCCCTCGAATCCCCCCAGCCCTCCAGAGATGCTGCTGCACCCTCAAGTTGCTCTTTCTTCCTTTCTTTCCCCTCTTTCCTCCTTCCTTCCGCGAAAGCCCCTCATTCACTGTGGGCGATGTCACTGACGCACATTCTATTTGGCCTGGCGCTCTGAAGTCAGGCAAGGCCCAGCACCTTCCATAGGGGAGGGTCCAACTAAGCAAACTTAGTTGTATGCTACACCACCACCTGGCTCAGCCAGAGGATCAGCCCCTTGGCCAGGTCCTCAAGAACGCTCCCTGGCAGCGAAGGTCCTCTGTGGACCCCACCCCGCGGTAGGGTAGGGAAACACACACCCCTCCACTTGCGCGCCCACCCTTCGGTTGCCCTCCGCCCCCAGCAGTCCCACCGCCCGGCAAATCACCAAGCAAGTTGCGCTCACCTTGTTTGACACACTTGAGCCGAAGGGGGTCCTTGCAGTGTTTGATCACGGCTAGAACGTCCCTGATGGTGAGCCCCGCCACGGGGGTCTCATTCACCTCCAGAAGCAGCTCCTCGGACACCAACTTGCTGCCGCTCTCATAGGCCACCTTGCCAGGCTTCACCTCCCCCAGGTAGGGGAATTGTCCATTCTCGGCGCCCCCTTTCAATTCAAAGCCCAGCTGGCCCTCCGGGTTCCTGCCAATGACACTCTCATGGACTTTGCTAGTCCAGTGGCTTTTCTTTTTCAAGCTTTTGGACATTGCAGTAGGGTGAGTCGCCTCAGCTCTTGAGGGTCCTGTGGACAGAGGGGGTTGGTAGTGCGAGAATGAGGATGGAGGAGCCAGGGGACTAAGAGATGAGGGTGGCAGACTTTGCTTTCTCCCCTCTGCTCCGCTCTTTCCCTCTCTTCTTTGGATGGAGTGTGGCAGAGGAAGGGGGAGGATGAGAGGGACCGCTGGGCAGAGGTAGGAGAGCTTGGGTGAGGTTGTGCTGTCCCTTGAATGACACTCAAGCCTGTGGCCCCGCAGCAGAGGAAGCTGTGGTGGCGTTGGCGGCGGTGGTGGTGGTGGCAGAGCCAGCGCGAGCAGTGGCCAAGCTGGGGAACGGGTGGCGTGGGGGTGGGGAGGAGGGTAGGGATGCCGGGGGCCACTCCTGCGTGCTGAGAGTGGGAGCGCGCGCGCGCGCCTGCCTGTGTTGTTAGCTGATATCCATGGCAGCTGCAGTATTAGCCTTAGGGAGCTCCTGTACGTGTGTGCGTGTATGTCTGTGTGTATGTGCGCTCATGTACTAGTTGTACTGTACTGGCAGGAGGGGAGCAGGCAGGGAGGAGGGATGCGAGCCCAGGGAGGAGGCGCGCGCACCGGGTGGAGAGCCAGGGAGGGCTTCATTGCTGTCTCCCTCCCTCCGCAGCTTGACCCGGTAGTGAAGGCTGAGAGAGAGGCAGGCTGGGGCCGCCCGGCAGCCTACAGGAGGAGGCGGGAGCCGGGAAGGGGGGAGCCCAGGCCAGGCGTGGGGAGGCCGGCGGAAAGGGCCAGGACCTGCCTCAGATTGTGGTGCCAGGTAGTTGCTGGAGCTGGACTTCCTGACTTCCTCCCGCCCCAACACCAATGGAGCAAAAATCCCAGGACCCGGCGCTCTGGGTGCCTAGAAGCCCATCTAAAGCGCCTCTAGAGCCTACTGGCGTCCATCCCTCGGAAGGGAAGCTGGGGTGCGGGGAACCAGGCATGGGACTAAGGAGGGCCTGGGATCAGCATCCGGTGGAGGAAGAGGTTCCACTGCTGAGGGAGGCTGTGCTTCACTTTTGCAGTCCTGTATTTGTCGCAAAGTTCTCTGAAGTCCCCCTTCCAGGAGGGAAAGTTAGAGAAAAGAAGTCTGGCTGTCTTGCCTGCAGAAAGGTGAAGCAGCATCTTCCATTCCAGGCTGCTATGCAAGCCTGGGCAGAAACTTTGGGTGTCTGGAGACAGGTGATTCTAGGGAACAAGGGCCCAGGACTCCCAGGAAAAGCAAGCAGAGGGAGGCTGTGGGGTGATGGTGGAGAGAGCTGCAGTGAGCAGCAGCTACAGAAATGGACAGGTTATCCTGGGACAGGAGTGAGACATGTACCTGGGGAAGAAACCTTAAGATGAACTTGCCAGCAACCTTCTGGTACAGGGAAAGGCAAGAAGATTCTGGTGTGTGTGGAGGGGAGAACTCAGCTCACTAGACTCCATCTAGAGCCTCCCATCTCCAAATTTAAAGCTAGGAGTAAAGCTTAAACAGGCCACAAGGGTTCAGGGGTGCTGAATTCCTGCGAGACAATGAGTGATTTTTTTTTTTTAAGTTCCTGTAGCTGTTAAATGAATTTCACTTGCTTAACTTTGAAATAATACGTTTCAGACAAAAAAAAAAAAAAAAAAAAAAGTCACTCACCCACTCATCCCTGTAAAACAGAGCAAGAAAATCATCCAGCAGTTAGGATTCTTGATGTCTGCGATGGAGTGTGGGCGGGAAGCAGTACAGTTCAACATGCTTAGAAGACCCAAACAGAAAAGATTGAATTTGAATCTGGTCTGTGCTACCTTTCAGGAGTGGTATACAGAGTAAATGGCTTGAACTTTGTTTCCTTTTTGTAAAAAAAAAAAAAAACAGTGTTAACGGTATTAAATCGAGCAGGCTGCAGAGAGAATAAAATCAGGTACAGCATGCAAAGTGCCTGACACAGGTAGGTTGGCTTTGAATGGCAGTTTCCTTCCTCTTTCCCTCGTTATTTGGGGGAAGAGGAGAGAAAATTAGGTCAGAACTGGAGATCTCTAAGGATAACTTGTTTAACCCTGTATCTTTTTCCATTTGAAAAAACAGATCTTCAGTAAGTTGGCTCTGACTGGTGAGGATTTTCAAGTGAGCCTGGGGCTCAGTCAGTGGACAGGATAAGCAAGGTTTTCTATAGTCTCATTCAAAGAAAATTGGGCTCAGCATTATAAAGCAGGATTCTAATAAACACTGATAGAACAGAGTTTGCATTTGCTTATCACCAATTAAAAATTTCCATCAACGTATATACTAATATTTAAAGTTCTAATTGTATGGAGCTGGAGAGATGGCTCAGTGGTTAAGAATTGTTCTTGCAAAAAGCAGACCCGGGTTTGAATCCCAGCACCCACATGGCAACTAACAACTGTCCATAAATCTAGTCCCAGGGGATCTGACAGCCTCTTCTGACCTCCACAGGCATTGCATGACACGGGTGCACTTACCTACATGCAGGCAATACACGCATATACATAAAATAACAATAATAAAATTTAAAAATAAAGTTCTAATTATATATCAGATATTTTATTGCTTTTACATTACTTCCTTTTTTACATGTGAGGAAAATGAGGTACAACAGAGATAAACTGTACAAGGATGCACATTTAGCCAAAATGAAGCTGATATCCATTCAGACCCTCATGGCATGTCTCACACCTCCACTCAGTCACTGCACTGTCATTCCATCACTCAGTATAGTAACCATTAAAGTTGGGTGTGTTTGTTTTTAAGGAGAAAATAAAGGCAATAGAACAGGTGTTCTCCATCAGATTCTCACCATCCAGAAACGTCATGAAGCCCTGTGTCAGTTAGTTGGTGACCTTCAGCTCCAAGTCCACTCTGTTTTGCCTGCATTGTGATTTTAGAATTGGAATATATAAAAGGTTCTTTGTTGACAAATAACAGGATATTGGGCTTTGTCAGTGGAAGGTACTAGAGTGACACTGGCAGGGAATGCCCTTTAAGTGGTTCAGGTGCTTTCCTGCTTGCTCTTATGATATGGTCTGTGGTTGGCTTTCTGGCCAATGCTGTGAAGACAGAAGTGCTGCTCAGAGCACTTCAGAAAGCTTGGCCAGTTGGACAGTGTGTGGCTTCTAGTGTGGGCCTCTGGCCTGTCAGTGGGTGGCTTCCCAGAAAGATTTTTGGGCAGTGCAGTTGGTCAGAGCCTATCGACAGATTGTGTGACATCTCAACAAGTATCTTGACCATAATATGGGCCGTGGCCATATTATTATTGACGAGATTAACTATCTGACCTTTGGCCTTAGTAGGGTGAGGGGATGAGGGCTTAATGGTGGGAGTTCTAAGTTATTCTTTCATTGGATTTGGACATTGTCCCATAGTACCATAGTGCCATAGGTAGTGGGAGCTAATTCTGTGTACTTTGGTGGTCTGTTATCATCCTAATTCCCATCTACTGCTTGAGGGGATAAGAAATAATTTGTTTGTTCTGGACCCAAATATGAGTTACCATGGGCCAGGAACAAAGATTCAGGTTACTTCAAATTCCATGTTCCAATGTTGAAACAGTTTCATGAAGTTTTTGTAGTAACAGAACAAAGAAAAGCCATAAATCAAGACATTTTTCAAGTACATTTGTGGAAACATTAAGTAGGTGGCTACAGCAAAAGAGAACTCTCATCTCAGGTCTCAGATGCTCTCTGATGACATTCAGACTTTTGGTTGGTGGGAACTAGGGCTTTAAATTAACACATCCCAAAGGGTTTTTATCTGTTAGTCATGAGATATTAAGGTAGAAACTGAGGTGGGCAAGAAGTGGCTAGTTAGAGGACTAAAGATAACCTAAGATAAATTCTAATTAGGCTTTGGACCTGCAACATTACAATGTCTCCACAGTCACTCAAGTTCTAATCAGTTGATCAGCCTTTGCTGAAGGTTCAGTTTCAAAACACAGATTTTCTGTTTACAATATGTATAATGTTTACATTGTAATATACATGAATAGTTAAATATATTTATATGTATATCGGTGCTGAGTATTGAATTCATTATCTTGCACAGGTTAGGCAAGTGCTCTACCGTTGAATTCTATCCCCAGGCCCCTCTATAGTTCTTCTAATTTTTCTCTTTTCTGATTCTGTGATTTTTTTTTTTTTTTTTTTTTTTCGGCCTTGTTGAGACAGGGTCTCCCTGTAGCCCCAGCTGTCCTGGAACTCACTGGCCCTATACTGAGTAGACCTCAATGACTACAGATTAAAAGTAAACTGTGAAGGTTACAGTTTTGGGATTCTGAAACTGAAACAAGCTTTAGGCTGTGCAAGATTTGCTAAGTCACTTAATATCTCAGAGTGTTTTCTGCTACTTATAAAAGGTGGTGGAATATATGTCACAAGGCTGTTCTAAGCATCTTGTAAAATGTGAATGACTTTGCAACTTTATAAAATACTAGAACTGAAGGCAATATCAGTATAGGGCCTCAAGGTAGCAAAGAAAAAGCCTCGGGTGTGGTCTGTAAGAAAAATTACAATTATTCTGGAGATGTTTAAACATACTGGAAGGAGAGGGAGATTAACATTTCTTGTTGGATTTGTTATCATAAAGTAAATATTTGTTTGTTAATTGGCTGGTTGGTTTTTAAATGGATTTCTTTTTGAAGATGAAATCAAATACTTGTGAGTCTCAAGTTTCTACTTCTACAAATAAGAAAACAGAAACTGCAACTGTTTTGTGGTTTGATTGCGTTTACTCCTGGTATCTTTCATGTATCCTTACCTATCCTATGATTTCTTTGTTGTACTTGGATTTGTTATGTATGTCAAGAGAGAATTCCACGTTTTAGTATTCTGTGTGCAGAATATAACACTAGATATAGCATGCTATTAAAAATAGGTTTGAGGGGCTTGAGAGACAGCTTAGTTGGTAAAGTGCCTGCTGTACAAGCATGAGAACCTGAGTTCAGATTCCACACCCATGTAGAAGGCTAAGTGTGGTTGTGTATACTTGTAAGCCTTGTGCTTAAGAGTCAGGATGTGCAGACTAGAGGATCCCTGGAGCACATTGGCTAGCTGGTCTAGCCCAGTGCAAGACTTTAGGTTCAGTGAGTAGCCCATTGTCAAAAAATAAGGTGAATAACAATTAAGAATGACACCCTAGATCAACCTCTGGTTTCCTTCCATATGCACATGTTAACACACGCACACACACACATGCACACACACACACACACACACACACATACACACACACATGTTTGGAGATTCTGAAAGCCAGATGTATGAGTTCATTCAATTCTTAAGAGATTTCTATGATGTAGTTGCTTGTAGCAGACATAGTTAACCACAGAGTCACTTTTACTGGACTGGAATAGCTTTCCCCTATCTTCTGTGTTCTTTTGTTTCTTACAATCTGTGCCTGACACTCTCTTTGGAAGACTGCCCAAAGACTACTGGGTGTAGTCTACCTGTGGGCTCTGAAAGCCAGAAGGAATTATCTGGGTGTTAACTTCTCTCCCAAGATGCCTTTTCCAAGGGCTGCCCTAGAGAGTAAAGCTCAACCTCCCTCCTATAGTAGCAAGAAAATCTTGGGCACAATTTACA